GCGCGTGTTGAACGACGCGAGAGAGCTGATAGACGCACGCGAACTGATTGATGTGCGCGAGTTGAATGATACTCGCGTGCTAACTGACTGTTGGGCGCGTTTGGACGCTTTGAGTTGATTGATGCGTGCGGGCCACTTGGCGTTTACCGTTGTGGTGGTTCGTTGTCGTGTCATCAACGGTTCGCCGATTCGCTTCATGCGCTTGTCGGCGTCGGATAATCCTCTTCGACTCGGATAATAACGTTCATCGCCTTCTCTTTGTCTTGAGCTGTATTCGGGGACCTATAGGCAATTTTTGACGCCTACAATACCCACTTGCAACTAATAGCTTTCTTACCTTTGGGTAGATGTGCAACTGTCCAAGTGTTGTTCTTCTGAAGAGACCGCATCTCCTCCTTCATAGCGTCCCTCCACCTGATCGAATCGGGGCTAGACTCTGCCTCGCTGAATGTGGCTGGAACCATATCATCAACGACCTCTACTGATAATGCATATGAGACCATGACATCATTATACCTAGTTGGCTGACGAATCTCTCTCCTCGGTCTATCTGCTACAATGGACCCCTGAACATGACCATGTTCCTGAGTCCCATAATCTACTGTATCCTCTATCTGCCCGGCTGTCATCTCATCTCCTCCCAGTGTCACCTCTGTAGGAGCCTCAATGGATACAATGCTCTCTGGAGTGAGTGGAGTCACATCATCCTCCACCTACTGCGATATCTCTCCTGTCTGATCTCCCTCCACCTGCTGAGGGGCTCGAGGCCTCATCATGTATGTCTCGTCAAATGTGACATCTCTGCTAATAACTATCTTCTTATCCTGTGGATCCCATAACTTGAAGCATTTTACTCTATCTCTAAATCCCACAAAAACTGCTTTCCTCGCTCTCGGATTTAATTTACCATCACTGACATGATAATAAGCTGGACACCTGAATATCTGAAGCGACTCATGGTCACTAGCCACCGAACCAAACCAACGCTCCAATGTAGTCTTCCCGTCTATCGCAGTGCACGGCAACCTGTTCACGAGATGGCTCGCATAAACTAACGCCTCGGCCCAAAAGGATCTAGGCAATCCACTCTGTGTCATCATACATCGCACCTTCTCCAGCAAGGTACAGTTCAATCTCTCAGCCACCCCGTTCTGTTGCGGTTTCTCTCGAACTGTGAAGTGTCTTCTAATACCGTGATCCCTACAAAACTGTAAAAACGGATCACTCTTGTACTCTTCACCGTTATCTGAACGTAGATTCTTCACCTTTCTACCTGTCTGCAGCTCCACTTTTTTCTTCTACTCCACAAAAATATCCAGGACCTGATGTTTATGCTTCATAGGGTATACCCAATTCCTTCTGGAATAGTCATCAATAAAAGTGATAAAATAGTTGGCCCCACCAAGAGATGTGTTCTTGGAAGAACCCCAAACATATGTGTGAATGTAATCCAATGTACCTCGGGTGTTGTGAACAGTGGTGCCAAACTTCACTCTAGTCTTCTTCCCAAGTACACAGTGCTCACACAGCTCCATATTGCAGGTCTTAGCACCTTTCAATAGCCCATGTTTTGCCAATGACTGTAGGAACTTATCACCTGTGTGTCCAAGTCTCATGTGCTATAAGGTGCTAGTGTCCTCCTCTATAGTGATAGAAGCTGCCAGACCCCTTGTAACTGTCTTGCCCTTCAAGTAGTATAGGTTGTTTTCCCTGACACCTCGCATCACCACCATAGAACCCTTTGTGACCTTCACTGTAGCATCCTCTAAGATCACTCAATATCCAGCTGCTTCCAAAATCTCAAGAGAAATGATGTTCTTCGTTAACTACGGTACGTACCTCACTTCCTTCAACTCCCTCACTACACCATCATGCATCCTAATCTGGACTGAACCAATACCACCAATAGGACATACGTGGTCATTTCCCATAAGCACGACATCCGCTCTTTCCAGCTCCTCAAAGCTAGAGAACCACTCCCTCTTAGGGCAGATGTGATATGTAGCTCCCGAATCCATCATCCACTCCGTGGAATCCGCATAGCAAACCGACGGTAACGCAGGGCATGAATAGCCTGAAGAATCTGAATCTGAATGCTCACCAATAGCTTTTGCAACATTCACTTCTAAAGCTTGTGCAACTTTTTCCTTATTCTTCCCGGTTTTTTCTTTCCATTGTGGGCAGTCAATCTTCCAAAAACCTTCTTCTTTACAATACCGATATTGATTTCTACCAACACTCTTATAGGCACTCATATTCCTTGACTTTGAGCGGTTGAACTGGCGACGGTTTGGATCTCGACCTCGAACTGCTAGTGCATCTCCCGATGCCTTCTCGGAGGGTTCACCATCACTCTTCCTTAACTCATAGTTCACCAAAGCTAAGGTCACCTCCTTATAGCTGATTGTAGTTCTTCCATTGATCATAGTGAGAACGAACGTACCATAATCATCTTCGGGTAACGAACACAGAAGTAGCATCGTCTTGTCTTCATCCTCAACTATAATGTCCACATTGGCCATATCTGAAAATAGCTTAGTGAAGTTGTTGACATGCTCCCTGATGGAAACTCCCCTCTTTATCTTGAACTGGTAAAATCTCTTCTTCAAGTGAAGCCGATTCTCAATGCTCTTCGTAAGATATTTCTCATTGAGTGTTTCCCACATCTTCTTCGCCGACGTCTCGTTCATAACATCATAAATAAGATCCGGCGTCAAGCATGACCTAATAACATCACAAGCTCTACTGTTCATCTTCCTCCAAACCTTATCCTCTATATCTGTGGGTTTCTCTTTTAACTCAAGAGTCTCCTCCAAATTCTGTGCATCCAAAGCATCCATCACCTGACACCTCCACAATCTGAAATTGATCTTGCCGTCGAACTTCGGAACATCAATCTTCGTGTTGTTGATGCTCAGACTCTGTATCGCCTTTGTAAGAGACGAACCTGATGTGTTTGCTTCTCCCATGTTGTCAATCTAGCTCTGATACCAATTGTTGTGCGCGGCGAAAGTTTATTATGCAACACGAACAATAACTCGAGATAAACCACAACCAATAAGCAAAACACAAGCACAACAAGAACAAACGATTTACGTGGTTCGGCAAGTTACCTACGTCCACGGAGCAATGAGGGGGGGGGGGGTTCTTACTATTAGAAATCAGAGAATACAAGTAGAGGTACAAATCTCACCGATCAAACCCTAAAACAAAGCTCTAGATCTCTCACAACTCTCTCACAATTGGATGCAATAATTCTCTCTCAAAGACTGCTCAAAATCGTCCTTGCTCTGCCCTAATTAATCAGGTTTAGGGTTATATATCAACTCAAAAACGAACCGGGTCAAAAACCAAAAGCCCAGCCCAATCCAGTTTGCGGTCGACCGTGACGGTCGACCGAACCACAAACCCGAGACTTAAATCGATTACAGTCATCCGCGGTCGACCGCGACGGTCGACCGCTAGTCTGTCTGGCTGATTCTTTGTTGTTTCCTGCATTTCTTCAATTTGATGAGGTATGACTGTGATGGACTCGTGTACATGTAAAAACTCAAATATGAATATAAATATTAGAATGTCTATGTAGATCAAACCGTTGAAATTATAATGATTTAAGACCCAGTGAGTTTGAAGTTGAATTTGATGATCTAAAGATGCAGTTCAAGGTTTTTAGACTTGTTTCCGTTGATTTATGCAGTTGAATCGTACTCCGAGAACACCATACCAAACGATAAATATGCTTAACTAAGATGAAATGCAATAATTCTCAGTCTCTAACGGTTAATGTCGTGAAAGCAATCAACAACCCTCATTTTCCTCCTCCAACTTGATACAGATAATCAAAGGCAATGGTATGAAGTCTCTCTCTATATATGGCGTCAATTAAAATTCTACAAACAGTTATTCACATTGAGCTATAGTTTGAAATTTGTGGATATATACTATGACCTGCAGAAGAAAGAAGAAGAATGATGTCTGACAGTGAAGCTCTTTTTTATTTGATGACATGTCCTGTTAACTAAGGAAACAGGTTCATAATTGAGTGCCATAATGTTATATGAGTTGCATATAAGTTGTGCATATTAGGTGTTGGTCAATTTCAGTGAGATCTGAAGAAGAAAGAAGATAACAAAAGTTCCTTAGATGATAACTGTGGTCATCAAAGTCTGATTCTAGATGCATAATTTCTTACAATTGCATTCTCTTTTCAGCATTGACATGTTTCTGGAATTGGATAATTGCTGATACATGGAATAAACCATGCTAGCGATCGCAACTTAATCAAAGAACCAGGAAACCACTAACTACACAGAAAGGACTACAGTTAATTAGAGACTGAAAACAAATGCATGACCGATACAATTGTTCTGGCATCAAAATGAAGAAATTTTATGCATCAAGGCATACAAAGTTTCATGTGAGATCAATTCTCTATTAGCACCAACCGAAGATGTTCCCAGGTCACAAGTATGAAATCATGCTAGATTCATTAGATATATTAGGCTTCAAGATCATAATCTAGTTGTAGCGATATAAATTGTACCGACCATTACCTAATTCGTCCTACAAGAAACATAACAATAGATCGATGTCTAATTCGTCCTACAAGAAGCATAACAATAGATCGATGTCGAGAAAGAAATATGTAATCTGAAAGGTATAGACCACAACCTTAAAAAGAAAATTTACTTAAACAAAGAGATGTAATGGAAGCTCAATTTTTCACTAGACCTTGAAGTACTTTATAATATATATAGATCTCCGCAAATAATTTATCATCGCCGTCAAAGCAGATTACAAATGGGATTTTGTTATATAAAAAAGCCAATAACACAATGCCGCCTCTGTTCTATTTGAACAATCATTAGCTAAGATATTAGAAATATGGATTACCTGTTTACTAATCAGAAGCTACCGCCGAAAATTAAATTGTGCAAAGAGAGCATCAAAGCCTCCCAACGTCGACCGAAGTGAAATTCTGAATTAGTAACAAACCAACAAAGCAGGATGATTAACTTTATTAATATGTAATAAGCATAAAAGTTTATAGGATGTAAGTTGACGAGGAAAAGCAAGGACACTTCCATTTACAGGCTCTACTATTACACTCTCAGTTGTATACATATTTCACTTTTTCTCTTTTTTTTTTTCTTTTTTTGGCCCCGTTTACCCTCTCCATCAATGTGTCTTTATAAGCTTCGGCGTCCACCCCCATAACGCAAAATCCCCAGTCCTTCTCTTCAACTTAAACCCTTTCTTTTCCTTCGAATTCACTTCCTCCGTCACGTTACTCCTCAACGGACTTTGTGGGCATCCAATCTCCTCGTTTTCCACAATGCTTTGTATAATTTCAAGAACCTCGCTCATCTTAGGCCTAGACTTGGGCTGACGAAGCAAACATCTATTAGCTACAGCAGCGAGCTTCATCGCAGACTTCACAGAGCAATGTCCTGCTAACCTTTGGTCCATGATCGTAGGAAACTTCTTAGGATCGGATATGTAGGGTTTGACCCACTCCAATAGCTTTTGCTCGCTCTTTGGTCGGTTTCTGTCCATTGGTCTTCGGCCTGTGATGAGCTCGTAGAGGACAACACCATAGCTCCAAATGTCACTCTTTGAAGTGAGGCGGCCCGTTAGCATGTACTCTGGAGCTGCATAGCCAGCGGTTCCCACGACCTGTGTTGATGAAGTTTACAGAGGGTTAAATCTCGTGTTTAAGCACCATCACCCAACTATGGATAGACCCTTTGTAGTTCTATTCGTGTAGACAGACCACGTGTATTATGGCTAAACTGCGGGTTTTCTTTTTGTTTTTTTTTTGTTTTTGTTTGACTCTTTTACCCTCATGAGGTCTATTTGTCCTCCAACAACAACAGGAGGAAGGGGAACAAAAAAACCTTCTCCGTGGGTTAAAAAGTCAAAAAAGAATTCCACTCAGGGGGTCCATCGGCAGCAATGGAACTGGGTCTATCCACAATTAACCACAAACAAATGATGCGTCGTAGTTCAGACATCTTATAATCTACTGATAAAACTAGTTTCATAATCCCTGCATTTACAAACCCAATTTCATAATGAATAGTATACAAAATAAATTCTGCACTTTGTAATGAAAGGTGTACATAAGAAATGCGACAAGTAATATTTGCGGCCCGAACCATGGATAACTATCTAGCAGCACTGATCAATGATCAGCAACTAAACTTCCCAATTTCCCTCATTTGTTCCCGAACTTGCACAAACTGTCCTTATCAATGCTATAAATATGCAACCTATATCAAGAAATGCAACAGCTTTACACATTTCACAATTAAGATTGTATGACTACGAGCATTTCTCACCAAAAAAAAAAAATTAAACAAGCTTTTTGTTAAAAAAACACACGAGCATGCTTACAGACAAACATACATACAATACAATGAACCATCTCGACTGTGACAACCTAAGAATTCCGAAATCTCCACTACAAAAAACAAGGGTTTACTGCGGATAGACCCTCTGTAATATCGCACAATTGCCGATAGACCTCCTATAGCCTATTGTTGCAGATTGATCCTTTGAGTGAACCTCTTTTTTATTGTTTTACACTTAGAGGAAGAGAAAATTATTTTTTGACGAATAGACCTGATGGTAAAATTGAAGATAGACCCCTTGAGTGAACCTCTTCTTTAATCTTTTAAGAGGAAGAGAAAATTATTTTTTGATGAATAGACCTGATGGTAAAAGAGTTAAAGATTTCATTCAGAGGGTTTTTTACGATTGGATGACAGTGGTGTCTATCCGCAACAATAGGACTACAGTGCAGTGGTCTATCTACAATTGGGCGATAGTACAGGGGATATATCTGCAATTAACTCAAAAAACAATAATACCAGCTTCATAGCCTAGGGCTAGACAGCACAATGAAACATAGCAGGCATCAAGAAGAGCATGCGCACAAAAAAAAAAGAAAGAAAGAAAAGAAAGGCAAAATTATTCTCACGTTTCAAAGCATTTTAAAACAAAAGGCAGAAGAAACAAATGAAACACAGCTCAGAAGAAGGAACAAAAGCAATGTCTGGTTATACATACTGCTGTTGAAACATGACTTAGCCCTTCGGCTGGTCCCTCTCGAGCCAATCCAAAGTCTGACAATTTTGCGTTCCAATTCTCATCCAACAAAATGTTTGATGTCTTCAGATCTCGAAAAATAATCTGTGTATATGTATATGCCAGTATTAAAGTTATTATAATGCATCATCAATAATGGCATGTAATTTGAAAATAATATGCAACTGTTTGTGATCATAAGTATCAAATAGATATTACAGATATAGAGTAAGAACTTACTGAAAGGAGTCTTACATACTTAGTACCTAAATATGCATGAATTAACATATATTATGCATTGCTTGGAATAGATTTTGACACCTTGTGGCACTCCTGAAATACATTTGACAATAAAAGACACATCTCCAGATTTCAAGCTAGCCCAGGTTGGAACATGTGGGGTTCCCTGTCAAGTTGAAGCTGCCAGGTTATCACAAAATTGCATTGATCAGAATGTTAATGCCCTGAAGCAGGACCACTTCTCAATCCCTACCTTAACTATTTAGATTAACTAAGTGTATGTTTTAAACATTTATGAGTCCCCAGATCATCTCTCATCCCTCTGTGTGTGCCAGTGCATGATACATGACATGGATGCACACATATATGTTCTTCAATATACTTAAGTAGGCTTTTCTTTTTGTAATGACCATTCATTTGTAATTATACTGTTTCTACATTACATTAAAAAATTGAGTTAATATCAAATAACAATACAAGCTAGTTTAGGAGTACATATATTTCTCAGGAAAAACAAAAAGTTATTGGAACTTACGATCTGTTGGAACACAGAAAGTGGAGCCACAGATATGGAAAACTGAGGAAACTGAGGTCCACCATAGGCAAAAGAGAGAGCGTACAAAAGAAACCCTTTATATTGAAGAAACAATGCTCCAGATATTCATTATATCCTGCTTATAGTACTCATCCGCAATAATACATTCCTGAATGTCCATAGGTAAAGAAATATAAAGTTCTTCCAAATACATGGACTTCTTACAGCTTACACTTGTGACTTCAATGATGGTTTCAACGAGAAGATTGATAAGTTGACTAAGAAATGAAGAATGGATATGTCAATTGCCAGTAGAAACAAGGAGTGAACAGGTAGATCGATTATATTGTAATTAGATGTTGGATTCAAATTATGACATCCAGCCCCCTCCAACTTGTCTGGTTTTCACACTAATAATTAATTCAGCATGAAAAATACTACACACACTCATAGTTCGTTTCCATGGCATATAAGTTTGTCACTAATTAAATTAGTTTATTGGACTAGATAGGGGAGGAACTCAAATGGAGCAGTAAAAGAGTAATACAGATAACTGGAATTATATGCATGCCCAAGCATCCGGTAGAAAGAAAGTACTAGTTTGGTTTCTGATAAAATCTTATCAAATACAGATCACCTATGACAATATGTTGGTAGCAAGTACTCCAAGACAGTAAATACATGAAATTTTAATTGATTAGTAATAGTAGTGTGCATAGCAAATAATATATTGGACGCATAGCTTTAAACTCTTGCATGCTTTTGTTATATAAACATCCCAAATCTTGAATAAGTCACAAATTCTGTTATTAGACTGAATAACCAACAATAAATTGTTGAAGCAGATAGAATTTCCATATAATTTTCTAATATAGTAATTTTTCCTTTTATATCAATTGTTAAAGAGAAATGACAAGTATCAAATATAACATGCAAATTTAGATATAGAAAGGGAAAAAAATAAAAAACCCTCTATTCGATGAGTATTTCTTTGTACTAATTGTTATATCATAGAAATGGCTAAGTATTAATCCTCTATGAGGAGTCGACACATGTCCCTCATTAACTAAACACTAGATCAGTGTCACCCTATGCGGAACGACTCGAACGGCTTCAACACTCGACCCTTCCCAAGAAGGGCCGAGTCGAAGATGTCCTCACTCGAAACTCACCATTTGAGACAATCTAACTCCTCACTCTACAAGGGCAGGTCGAGAACTTCTGAAAGCTGAGTAAAAATGCGGTACTTATCTGCCCGCATGCAAGACAAAAATGAAAGACATCACTTGTCGATCCTCTCAAGGAAGACGAGTAGAAAGGCGATTTATCCTCAAGCCCCATACCGAGCTGATTGTCATTGCATAATCAGAGTCATCATTGCTCCATCCCGAAAGTCTCTATGACTCATTGGACTCATCAGCGTCACGCACACTCAGTCATCATCACAGTAAACGCCTGGATGACTCATCCCCTATAGCTGACGCCTGCAAAGTAACTGCAGACTTAGTCGTCTACTTGAACTCGATCGAAATTACAAGTCTACTCCTCGGATCTGCTATAAAGGGAAACCGTTGTCTACTGCTTAGGGTAAGCTGACTCTAATTGAAAAACATCATACATTCACTCTCTTTCTTCTCCGCTCAAGCTTAGCACTAACTTGATCATCGAAGGAATCACCGGAGATCCTAACTCTGACCCTGTCACGTGTTGTTCATGTGCAGTATTAGATTCTCTGCTCAAGAACAATCCGTTTGAAGAAGATTGAGGGACTCTGATATCTTATAGCATCCTACTTAACTCTCTGTTAGATAACATACATCAACACTAATGAAATGGAAAGTCAAGTAAATACCTGAAAATCCATGCCTTCATGCAAATATGTCAAGCCACGAGCAGCATCAAGAGCTACCCTCAATCTCATATCCCATGAAAGAGGTTTGTTCATTCTATTTGATAAATGATCTTCTACGCTTCTATTAGGCATATATTCGTAAACAAGAAGCCGTTGTGGTCCTCTTTCATCATCTTCAGCACAATAGCCCACTAACTTTACGAGATTATGATGCTCAACAACCCCAAGAACATTTACTTCTGTCAACCATTCCTTATGCCCCTGATATCATAAAATGAAAAATAAAACAATCTCATAAGAGCTACTCAATTTTCTTCCGTTAGTGCATCAGTAAAACTAGCATAGACACACTAGAATAAAACATATTCTGAAGTGGAAGAATAAAGTTACAGCCACGCCATTAGTATATTAGCACGCCAAATCTGTGATTAGACTGTTTTGTAACCAAGATAAAGATTTATATGGTCAAAAAAATAAATTATTGGAAGCAAAATATGAACGTGCTGAAAGATCCTTTGCTACCAAGTTATTATGAAGCCGGCCTAGAATTTTTTTCATCTAGAGTAATCAAAAACTGAAGGGACTCAAACAATACATCAAATCAAGAACAGTTAACAGTAAATGGAACAAGAAGAAACTTGCTCCAACCACTACTAGTGAACAAGTAAAATGCACAAAATAACTTGAGTTATTAAAACAAATTTTTGTTCCCAAGCTAATGGCAATCACTAATGAGCTAGAGCAGTTAGAGTACTAAATAGAATGATGAACAAGTGCCAATGTGAAACCAAGATAACAATAGGAGCAATTTGGTTCTCCTTGTCATTTTCTAGTGATAATCAACATTAGCAATGCCTACAAAATAATTTAAAAAGAAATTTTACCTGCAGCCCTTTTCGGTTGAGCTGTTTAATTGCAATCTCGATCTTTCTACTTGGATCCTCTGAAATCCTAATCATTCCCCTATAAACACATCCAAATCCACCTTCTCCAATCATGAGGGCACGGCTAAAATTCCTTGTAGCATTCTTGAGCTCTGAAAAAGTGAATATCCTAAGATTGTTTGACCTCTGAGAGAAACTAAGGAAAGGAGACCTCCCTATAGATTCACTGCTCATGTCTGAAACATTTCGGGAGTTGAACTCTGAACTCGATCTCTTTGTATCACGGCTTGATGTTGTGCTACCAGACTGAGTGGATTTGGACTTCTTAGAGTTGTGTAGTGCCTTCTTTTCTCCATTTGAGAACTGAAAACAGCCCATAGCCCCAGTTAGGCGAGCTTCTTATGCTAACCTCTGCACACTGAAAACTAGACAAGGATGAAGTTTCACGGCTAGGAATCTTTGAAACTACAAATAATAACAAAAACATGTATCAATTTGGAGATATATATTTTTAATAATACAGATATTGTGGGAGAGAATAAAAGTTTTTCCATTAAGGAGCTTTTTTGGGCAACATAACTTAAAATTTCACAAAATTCTAAACTCTCAAATTGGGATATGTATTCTGATTTCGCTAATATATATAGATACACGCGCGCGTGCATGAACACAACCTCTCACACACACAGGGTGTAACTAAGTTAGTTATACACAGTTATAAAAATATATCTTTGTCCATGTATATTGTAAATCCAAACCATTCATTGTTATCTACATGTCATCAAATGTATGTGGATCAAAATTCACGTGGATTAGAATTTTCTATCCTATAGTTCAAGCAACTCAAAATAATTGACATCTTGGACTGTTATCGTTCATTTCTAAGTCATTAGATGTATAAATTAGAAATATCTAATCTATGTGATTTTTTTCTCTTTGAAGTTTTGAGTTCATAGATCAAAATGAACAATGTCGACACACACGCACGCATGCACGCACACGCGCGCGCGCGCACACACACACACAAATATATATATATATATATTATCTATATCTAGAAAAAACTATAATGTTTAAAAAAATTTAATCAATGTTTTATCCATGTGCAAAAGGGACAGCTATTAAGCTGTCTAAAAGATCAATATATTAAACTTGCTTGATTCTCATTCTAGAAGATTCCAAAAGTATATGAAAATTTTATCATGCACATTTGATAATGTTTTTAACAAGATGTACGGTGCCGATCATGAATATGATGAGTCGATTAGTATAGCTCACGATAAGATTTGAGCTCACTAGCTCACAGTATCATTACTCTACATATTTGTATATGTAATATATATATATATATATATATGAAAAAAATGAGTATGCTTGGTACTAAGCACAAATTTTGTGCTTGATAGTGAGGTGTCCTATTCCCACCCACTTATTCCAATTCTCAACCACTCCCTAACCCATGTGAATGTGAACCCCGATTTCAATGAGTAGAGGGGAATATACCACCTCACTACCAAGCAGAAAAACTTGTGCTTGGTACCAAGCATACTTATTTTTCTCATATGAGAATATATATATATATATATATATATACACACACACACACACACATACATACATACATGTGGGTGTGTACATACATGTATATATACATATATACACATATATATGTCTATATATATATATATATATATATATATATATATATATATATATATATATATATAGACATATACATATATAGACACATACACAAATACATACTAGTATTAAGCCCGCGTGTTGATATGAGTATTATTTACTGAATTATATCTGCCACCAAATTTATAATATGATTTATATATTTATAAAAACTCCAGCAATAATTTTTTTACTGATATTTATAGAGTGAATTTCCAAACTAGTTAACAAAATAATATACAAATTAGCAAGTTTTATCAATTTTCTATAATATAGCCAGAAAAGGTTTAAATTTGTGAAATATCTGATAAAGGTTAAATTCATCATTTGCAAGAACAAAAATAAAAAAAAGATATGAACAATATTTACAGGAAAAAATCATTACTGCTCAAACCATATGTCTACGGTTGATGATATTATTGTACTATGAACAGTAATTTTTAGGCCTGGATCGTGTCGTAGCAAGAATAGTGTGAACAGTAATTTTATATTTTGAACCATGTTGTAGCTAGAATAGTGTTTATTGTAGCATTAATAGAAATTTTGATGTTTAAGGCTGATGATATTATTGTAGTATGAACAGTAATTCTTAAATGACATGGATCATGCTATAGCAAGAATAGTGTGAACTGTAATTTTTATAATGTGAATAATATTGTAGCAAGAATAGTGTTTACTGTAGTATTAATAGTAATTTTGATGTTTTTCTTTTAAGTTAGAAGTGGTATATATACACATATATACCCTTGATACCAAGAACAAAATTGGTCCTTTGTAGTGAGGTGCTCAAGGTACACTTGGAAAATATCCACCTTTATTTAAGGCTAACATATGGCTAATAATCCCATACAAAGTCAAAGTTGTATACACTGAGCAACCCAAAATCCACGGCTTCCTTTTCTCAAAAATAGGAATACTAAACACATCGGGCGACACAAGCCATAATTTCTCAAAAACAAAGAAACATACCTAAATCAAGAGAAGAAATTGAGGTTTATAAATCCATTAATACTAATTAATGCTAACACTAACAAAACGCTAAGAATCCCTTACGAAATCCAAACTTTCTGTGTGCTCAATCTTAATATTATTTATGACTTTCTTTAATTGAAAAAATTCACAAGACGAGCCAAACCATCTATTCCATATGCATGGATAAAACAAAAATAAAAGGAAAAACAAAAATAGTCATCAACCTTCGACCAATTCTCAAAAAGAAATCCCATTACTACGTACTCCAACGCAACAAAAATCTCCTACAACAACAGAATTATATCATTCAAGCAATCCCAACAGAACCCATCAAAAATTCAAAAGAAATGATCAGAATAATACCTTTGTTTTCAGCAGAAGAAAAGAATAGCTGCTGCTTCTAGGATTTTTGTGTGAGAATTAAGAAGAGAAGAATGTTTAGAAATAGAAAAATGGGGAAAATAAATAAATAATACGACGTTAAATGACGTGTGAACGAGGACCAGGGCTCATAGTAAGTCAAAGGGGACGGACAGCTTAACTTGTAGTTTCACGCTTTCTAGTTCACCCACCAAAGGTACAACTCATCCTTTTCACAATTTATTATTATTAATTATTAACTCTGTAGGGAACAAATGTCAACCCATAAAAATCCCTCTATTTGTAGAATTTCATTTCTAGCCCTTTTGTCACTTAATGTTGCTTTTATCTTTACTTTCGCATTTTTCACTTGCTCTTTTTCCCCTTTTATGCGACTTCTTTAGATTGAAAAAGTTTCTCATAACGTTTTCCCTTTTAGAATATAAACGTACTTCTCTTGATTCTCTCGCAACTGGAGTTTAATTTGATACTAGTGTTGATTAATAATTATGTTTTACTCATTTTTTGTTTTAGGAAAATCAAATATTAACTTAGTATAGCTCCAGTATCCTAAACATGTTTCACGTCATCAATTAGATGGAAAACATGAAACCCACTATATTGCATGATGCGTGAAGACTTTTAGTTTCTTTGATCGCGGACATCTTTCCATGATCAATTTATATTCAATACTTAAAATATCATGTATATTATTTTGATTGCACATGAATATGCGCATGGCTTAAATTTTACTATGGATGAATAAGAAAAGAAAAAAAAGTAAATCATGAAGACCTATATTTTCAGAAAAGATAATATACTTTAAACCTCATGCTACCTATGTATTGTTTGAAACAAATATGTGTTAAGTCCTTACTTTTAACTTGCTAAAAAGATCATGAGTCATCAATGATCTTGCAGTTACGTTTACAGTGATGCAAAGTTACTTTGAGATTTATAGTTCAGTTATAATTATTATATATTTTCATACTCAACAAAAACGTGTTGATAGATCTGAGATACAAGCCTAGAGAGAGCGTGAATAGGATTGTCTACTGTTTTTTAAGTTATCACATCATATGCAACGGAAATCAAATGATAAATAAGCAATAAAACAATCACAAAAGAAACGATCAAATAAGCAATAAAACAATCACAAAAGAAACGATCATAGCTTGCAAGATTTCTGTAGTGGTTCGAATACATCCTACATTCACCGTTCCTTCTTGCGAATAGACTTCCTTACTATGAAAGACTTCTCCTGAACCATAAAGCTGTTTCAATAGGTGTACAAGACCGTGCCCTAGTGTATCTCAAACTAATCGTCTAACATAACTCCTTACAGTGAGTAGCTCTAGCCCTAGCTAGTTTTCAACCGTCAATTAAACTATTTTGAGTACATTGTAAAAGAAGATGAGTTTGAAATAAATAATAAAAATCTTTTACACTCAATCAAAAAACTCTTACAGCACTTTTTTATTAAGATCAAACTAAGAAGATTTAAGTGAAGATCTAGAAGCTTGATGCAAACTTTGAGATCCTAGGGTGGCTCTTCTCGCTGTAGATTGATCAGATGATGATGTGCAAGGTGAGTGAACGATCGACGAGGCTCTAGGGAATCAAACGACTTATCCTTTGATGAATTGAATTCTGAAATCTGTAATCAACCAATCAACCATCAATGGTAGCTCTCGACCATCAATGGTTACATAGCGATGGTCGATAACCTCGTCGATGATTTGAACTTCTCTGGAGTTTTGCATCATCAGTAGTTAATAACACCACCGACGGCCCATATGAGTTCATCGATCATCAATATTGAACCATTGATGGTTCAAGTCCTGAAATTAGTTTTTGATCTGATTTTCGATAGTTTTCGCCTCGTTGTTTCATACATGTATACTGCTATACTAGATCATCTCAAACACAAGGTGTTGTTTATAAGATTTCAGGAGGCTAATTTTTAAGCTTTTCATAGGAATTTTTTTAATCATTGGATTTTCTAGGAGTTGTTTATAATTTTAGGATTTCAAAAGGAATAGTTTACAATTTTCTAACTTTTACAACGCTGCTTGTAATCTTCAGATTTTTTAGGGGCTTATTTATAATTTATAGATCCTAAGGGGTTATTTGTAAATTTTATAGAATTTTAGATTTATTGGGAGGTTGTTTCTAATTTTTCGATATCAATGGGGTTGTCAAATATTGCATAAATAGACTCTATCGTTTAGTCCAACATCGGGTAGAGTAATAGAACAATACTACCCACATTGTATATATAGACTACAATACCAATAAATACAAATATCTTTTTTCTCTTGATTTACTCTGTTTTTAACATTGTATCAGAGCCATTTAATCAATTCCCTCCTCAAATCCTAATCCCACAAATCTAATCCGCACCATCGTGCATTAAATCTGCACCAACGTGCATCAGATCTACACTAACGTGCACCAGATCTGCACACCACTGTGCACCAGATCTGCACCAAAGCTCGATCAACAAAGCCAAAACCGCAACACATGCACCAGATCTTCATAGATCTTATGTCAATCACTTGGCCCATCAACCAGATCTTCATAGATCTTGCTCCAATCACTTGGTCACTTAGATGAAGCTCCGACCAAAGTTTGAATCCGTTCACAGCCAACTCATCCACCGATCACCACGCACTCTTGAAACAACTGTCATAGAATTACAGGCTGAAGAA